AACCTTCAAAACCTAAAGAAACAGGCAAAGCTTGCATATTGGTCCTAAATTCAATGACTCATGGTCGATCACTAAAAAGCTTCTTAGGCCAAGTAGGTCATGTCCAGTGGTAATGAACTTGGGGCGACTAGAGGGGCCTGTCAGGTGCTTCTTTGACACAAGTGTGGTCCTTTCCCCTGGGAACAGGGAAGAGACCTCTCACAGGAGGGACTTGCAAGCTATTTCAGGGAAAGCCATCACATGCTTCTCCGACTTGAAGCTGGAGAAGGGCAGAGGGGCCCCTCTGTTTCTAGGGTTTCCTCACATGCTCAGGGGCCCTATTGTGTCCTGACTAATGCCACCCACACTTATCTCCCCCCAATGCTTGAATTTTGTGTGCATGTGTATGTGTATACATGTTTGTGTGTGAGTGTGTGTGTGTGTATGGAGAGCAGAGGACAACCTTGGGTATCACCTTTAGGAATGCTGTCCTACCCTCTTTGAGACAGGCCTGGAGTTCACTAATTAGACCAGATTGGCTCTTCAGCGAGCCTTAGAGGTCCACCCATCTCAGCCTCCCCAGAACTGGGATCACCTTGTATTTTTTTCCCCATGGGTTTTGGGAATTGAATTCAGCTTTTTATACTTGTGAGGCAAGGGCTTGACTTACCGAGCCCCCGTCTGACTTCTTCAATAGAAGCTTTGTGAAGTGGAGGCATCTGTCTTATTCCCAGCAGGTCATTCCTGCCCCTTACCCTACACCCGGCCTGGGGAAGGCACTTGGTAAATATCTGCTGAGCAGATTCATGAAGCCATGGAGAGAGGTCTCCCGGTAAGCACGGCGTCAAAGGCCTGAGACACAGCAGGAAGTGCTCTGGGAGTGTGGTTTCTGCAATTGGACGGCCCCGCAGTATAAAAGGCTACACACAAGGCAGATTTGTTAGAGCCATTTATGAAATCTTGCCTGTGCTTGACCAGAGGGAGATGAAAGTCACCCTCTGGGGAGGATCCCTGCCTGTTCCTGCACCACCGGCAATCAGGCAGTGGACTTGTTTTGGCACTCAGCCACGGGAAACCACAGGGAGCTTGTGCCAGGGCCCTGGGGACATGTCCTGTAACATTGGAGGGCACGCTCTGGTTTACTTAACAAAGTCATCATGGGCGCATTCCTAACCTGTTTGAATGTCCTGTAAAAGGTCATCAACCACACATACATCTACCTATGTGGGAAAAACCTAACAAGCTGTGTCTATAACTGTCCTGGGGCACCCGTGACCGTCTCTTACAGGTTAGACGTGCCTAGTAGGAGAAGGGCAATTTGGAATTCCCTGTTGAATATTTGTATTTTCATGAGATGGAAATCCAAGTCTCTTTGTGGAATTCATTTGGGTCTCACCTTCACTCTATGCGGAGAGCCAGAAGGTAATTCCGGTAATTCTACAACATTCTGCGTGCGTGCTTTCACTGGGGTCTGCTGTCACGTGTGTTCGTGCCAGTGTTCAGGACATTTTGGTCTTGAGGATCATTTTTGGTTTGGGGTTAAGGGGTGCTCAGCTTGTATCCAAAAATTGCCCTGGAGGGCGGGGCATATATAGCTCAGATGGGAGAGTGTTTGATTGACATATGAAAACACGGGGTTCAGTTCCCAAGACCTCATAAACGGGGTACAGTGGCAAATACCTATAACCCCAGCAATGAGGAAATTGAGGCAGAAGAAGGAGCCATTCAGGGCCATCCTTAACGATTTGATGAGTTGGAGGCCAGACTGGTTTGCAGGAGACCCTGTCTCGACAAACAAGCAAACACAACAGCACCAACAAAGACCCTCCTTAGGCAGTTCTGTGGAATGGCTGCCACGGGAGACAGCCATGCTTCTGTGCATGCAGACAGACAGTATTTACCAAGGCCTATTGTGCCGTGTTGACTGACCAAGGATGAAGCAAGGCATGAAGCTCCAACCCTGTACAAGGGAGGCAGTTGTGAAAGGAGGTTGGGGGCAAACTGGGATTGGCTGTAGTTACTCTCCTTGGTGTCCGTGGCATGGCTGGGATTTGGACAGAGACCACCTGGCCCAGAACCTGGTTCTGGACCGCTCTGCCATGTGGCCTCCAGGAAAGAGCGTCAGGTAGTTACACTCATTCTAGATAGAATCAGCTTGCTGTGTCAGAATGAAGAGGAACGGTAGGGGCACAGATGACAGAGCTGAAGGTGAGGTGTGGTCTGGTGCCCAGTGACACCAGGTGTCACTGGTCCCCAGGACTGGGGTCAGCCAGCCTTGGCTATGAATCGGTTCCGTGCCCATCCTTGAGTCCAGCGTCTCACACATTTTTGTCTGGTCTGTGTCTTTGCTTTGCTGTCTTAGTTATAGGTGTGAAGTAAGACTCCGTGTTAGTAAAAGGGCAGAATTATCCCCGACCTGAAGATCACTGGGGACCTGGGAGTCTGTCCCCATTGCCCATAAATCTCCTATTGCCTCAAAGAACCATGCAGGACTCTAGGCTTCTACCCAGATGCTAACCATTTCTCTTCCCTTTCGCCCCATAAGATATTTAAGACTTTTGCTGGAATGTTCTATGAATTTTTAAAGACTGCAACGCTCACAGTTTCTGCTTTGACTGTTAGGTCTGAGAAACCTGGCATGAAACCAAATAACTATCCATGGCTCTGAGAACAGCTAGGGATCGTTCTAGATCAGCTGTTCTCAACCTGGGGGTCAAGACCCCTGGGGGGTGTCCAATGACCCTTTCACATGGGTCTCATATCAGCTAGCCTGCATATCAGATGCTTACATTATGATTTAGAACAGTAGCAAAAATTACAGTTATGAAGTAGTAGTGAAAATACTTTTGTAGTTGGGGGGGGTCACCACAACATGAGGAACAATATCAAAGGATCAGGAAGGTTGAGAACCACTACTCTAGATTTTTCCAGGATCAGCGATTCTTTCCTCAAGATCCCTGGCTTCTTTGTCCATGCTCTTGCCAGACTCTACATTCTCTAGATCAGAGCCCTGGGGGCTTTAGTTCATCCAGTCAGCAGAGAGGTGGGGGGGGGGGTTAGGGTTCTCTCACTTCAGCACAGGCTGATCTAAGGCATTCACCTGTGCTGAGAGCTTCTCTGACTTCACAACTTGCTCAGACCTGATGGAACATGCAGGGTCCTGGGCCCCTCTCTGATGTGAGAAGGTCATTTGTCAATCTTTTGTTTCATTGGTTAATCAATAAAGAAAACTGCTCGGTCTGATAGGTCAGAAAATTAGGTAGGCGGAGTAAACAGAACAGAACGCGGGGAGGAAGTGAGGCAGACGCCATGCCTCTCCTCTCCAGGGCAGATGTGATGAAGCTCCAGCCCAAGATGGATGTACACTAGAATCCTTTCCTGTAAGTCACAGAATGAGAGTGACGGAGAAGATGAAGCCGAGTTAGGTGACGCGGCTGGTTTCGTTCCCTGTGTGTGTAAGTGACGCACACGGGATGGCAAGCCTAGCATGAGGGTGGCAAGCAAGGCAGTTGATTCAGGGGCAGATCTGAAGGGTATAAAAACCTTAGTCACTGTGTGGTGGTTTCAACGAGAGGGGCCCCACAGGCTCAGGCGTTTGAGTTCTAGGCCCCTGGTGGTGCTTGGGGTAGGTGTGTAAGGTGTGGCTTTGTCAGAGGAAATGTGTCACCGGGAGCTGGCGTTGATGTCTCAAGACCGTCATTTGCTCTCTGCCCCCGCTTGTAGTGAGACTGTAATTAGCTTGGCTGATCCAGCTGCCTATGCTGATGGGCTCATCTCTCTGGAACCATGGCACCAAATAAACCCTTCCTTCTAGAATTTGCCTTGGTCACGGAGATTCATCACAGCAGTAGAAAGCCTAACTAATAGACATGACTGGGGTTGTTGTTCAGCGGTAGACGTTTGCCTGGCATGCGTAGGCCCTGGACTCCATCCCCAGGACTATAAAACAATGACAAAACCTCAGTCATCAAGTTTAATATTTTCTCAAAGCAGTTCTTAAACACACACACACACACACACACACACACACACACACACACACACACGTACGTACAAGATGGTTCAGCAAGTGAAGGTACCTGCCTCCTATCCTGACGACCTCAGTTCTATCCCTGAGACCCATATTGTTGAAGGGAGAACCAGCTTCCACAAGCTGTCCTCTGGCCTCCATATGTGCCAGGTATGTACTCACCCATACCCACACACAAACTAAATCAACACACATGCAAAACTTTTCCACAAGGAAATAGGGAAATCTGAAATAAAGTCAGAGTCTGACCTTATATATAAACACAGTTGATCCAGTGCTGTGAGATTCTGTTGAAGAGTGTGTGTGTGTGATCATGTTTGTGCAGGCACATGCGCATGTGTGTGGAGGCTCAGCTGTCACTCATCAGGTGCTGTCCTCTTGCTTCTGAGGTCCTGTCATTGTCTGGAGCTCATAAACAGGTTGGTGTGACCAGCCAGTCCCAGGGATCTTTCCCGTTTCAGTGCTTCCGTGACAGCCTTTTTTCTGTAGGCTCTGGGAATCCAATTCAGGACCTCGTACTCACAAGGCAAGGACTTTACCAACTGATCTGTCTCCTCAGCCCCTCCTCAAATACTTGATCAGTCAAGGGAGAAAGACCAACAGACAAACAGACAGACAGACAGACTGACTGACTGACTATATTCTTTCTTTTTCTGTGGCTCCAGTTCCCGTCTAGTCCCTCCCTGGGTCATTCCCAGCCACCCTTGACCTTGCAGCCTGAGGACTCCAGCCTACAAAGGTCAGCTCCTCCTCTCTTCCCCTACTCCTCTTCTCATCCCTCCCCCCCCCCTTTTATGTTCTGCCCCATCTTCCCTTCCCGGAGGGCAAAGAACTCCTCCAGGAATCCAAAGTCATTTGTAGGCTCCATAAATGGGTTCCAGAACAAGCCAGCTAACGCTCTTAGCAACAGAGACTCTGGCTTCCTGACCCGGATGAGCAGTGGCCAGCCAACTGCTTGTGTTATTTCACAGGCCTCTGGGGTCGGGTTGACCTGACCAGGCTCCAAGAACACAGAGCCAATCACCAAGTAATCCAAGCCAGCTCACTGAAGCCCAGCCATGGTGACCCTTGTCTCTCAGACACCGGGGTCCCTGCCAAGCAAGACTGTTCTCAGTGGAGTGCGCATGTCGCAGGCTTGACAACTGGCCCCTTCCCCAGCAGGCTGCTTCAAAGCCCTTCAGGGATCAAGCGCCAGGAGGATGCATGTTGTCGCTCAGTGCTGGGGTGTGTTACTGGCAAAGATACCCAAGGAAGCTGGAGAAAGCTGACCTACATCGCATCTTTGCTTGGCAATGATCAGACCCCAAACTGACTTGGTGAGACAGAGCTTCCACCAAAGGGAAGAATGAGATTCCCTTTCATTCCAAGACACCATGGATGTCAAGTGGCGCTTTCCTGGGGGAAGCGCTGGTTCACACCAGCCTGAACAAAATGTTTCTGGTGTGACCGATTCACTGGGCACAGTGTGGATTCCACCGCCAGCACTTAGATGGAAGTCTGCACCTTTCAGTTTCTTCAACAGAACAGCAAGGCACAGAAATGCATTCTCCAGCCCCAGGGCACTGGCACACGGAGCAGGAAGGGTGAGTATCTGTGGGTCTCAGTGGCTTCTTGTCCCTTCTCCCCGATGCACAGCAAGAGCTCACCGATGCAGAAGGGAAGAAAATGGGAGGGGAATTCTTAAACACTCCTGAGGGAACATCCGTATTTCTCCAGAAACAGAACGAGCGGAGGAAAGCGCCAGGCATGGATTCTATGGTTCATAGGCATGTGAGGTAAGAGGCTTTGGTCCAGCGGCCTTCACAGTGTGGAGGTTTGGCACAACGGTGATGGGGAAATGGCTTGCTGTAGCTCCTCACAGAGCTGGTGGCTTTAAGACGAGTGACCTAACTTCTTCGAGGCCCAGTTTCTTCAGCCATGAGATGAAATGGAGCAGTGCCTGCCACACACACCCTTGCTGGGGCTTCCGAATGAGGCCATCTCCTGGCGTCCCAGTACACGACAGAGTAAGCGCTTAATAAAAGCTGTCTTTCACGATTACTAATGGGAAATCCGGCCTGGAAACTCCACAGCAAATGTCTTTTCTTTTCTCCCGAGGGCTTCTCCAGCAAGCCCATAACTCCGGGTCCTGGTGAAACACCTGCAGTAAACATTTACAAGTGTGATGTATGAACTGCATTCTCAACCCAGGGAGGATGGCGGAGGGGGCTGAAGATGGATGGCTCCTCACCCCCAAATCCCAGCCTGATTTGCCACTCTCAGCTCAGCTCACCTCCCTTCTCCGTACTGGCTATGCCCAGGCCCCTGTACAAGCCTACTTCCCAGAGGAAGGCACAGAACAAGTGTTGAACAATTGCCGTTCATTGTTTATGGATGGGAAGTCTTACTGTGGGAGGCTGCTGTAGTCTACTTTGGGTTGTGAAGCTCCCCTAGAGGCTCATGGGCTGGGGTGCCAGGACGCTCGGGTGGAGACTTGTGATGAGGTCATCAGGTACCATCTCTGGCAGGGGTGGATGTTGGTCTCATGGAGTAAGTAAGTTCTTACACGACAGGTAGCCATATAGCAAAGCAACTCTATCTGCATACCTAGTCTGAAATGCCATGGGACCCTTCCTCCTTCTCTGCTGTGTTTGGAGCAGTCAAAGGGAGTCTGGCTAGGAGCCCAGCACCATATTGTAGACGCTATCCAGTCACCGGAATTATAAGTCATGCAAGTCTCGGTCTCAGGCCTTTTGTCACAGCAACTGGAAAGGGACCAATACAGATGTTTCCAGGTGAGCTTTGGGTGGGGAGTGGAGGGAAATTGAAGTGGAGCGAAAGTGGCGGAAGTGAGCGCTGCTGTTCTGTAGCTCGGCTCTATCTTAGCGGTACCTTCCGGAAGATACTGTGGGGCACACCCCAGAGCAGCCTTCCCCAAGAGGAAGGAAGCTGCGAACCGAGCCACCCAATTCTGGCAGTTAGGTAGTCATGGCTGAGGAAGGCAACTCCAGGCATAGTATCCTGTGCCTGAGCCAGAGGCGATCAGAGCTGGGAAGCCATCAGCTGTAGAAAGCTGGCCCAGAGATCAGGCCTGTGATGGACAGAGCTGGCCACACCCTCCTAACAATGTGCGTGAAGGATTTCCTGGGAGGGTTTTGTGTTACTGTACTGCCCCAGGAGTATGAGTCCTGAGCTCAGGGCTTCATGATTTCAGTTGTGTGGACATAGCTACCATCCAACAAACTGGCTCCCAGTGGACATTGGGAACATATTCTAGTGCTTTCTCCCTTTGAAATGTCAGCAGAACGCAGGCTTGGCTCCTTCATGGCAAGCCTGAGCTGAGAGCATCCGATCATCTGTCCTGGGTAGCACAGAGCCACTGCTTTGGGGAAAGGGTTGGCTGACATCTGGACACCAGAGCTGTGGCCCCCGACACCATGATCTGGGCTTTTCTGTGCCCCCCCCCACTCTGTGTATCAATCAATCAATCATTTACCACTTTGTTTATTGATACAGGCTCTCTTAGTGAACCTGGAACCCCCTGATTCAGCGAGACTGGCTGGCCAGCAAGCCCCTGGGATCTGCCTGCCTCTACTTCTCCAGCTCTGGGGTGCAAGAGTGCATCCCCATGATGGGCTTTTTAAAACGTAGGTTCTGGGGATTGAACTCAGGTCCTAGTGCGTGTAAGGCAAGCACTTCAATGATTGACCTATCTCTTCGGTCTGCCTCCTGTCTTGTTAAACTTCCTAGCTGGCATGCTTTGATTTGTTTCTGCCTATGAGGCACGAATTCAGAGATCTTACCCCAGAGAAGGTCACTAGTACAACTAGCAACATACCATGTGACCCAAGGCTCCCTGACTTGAGAACCCACATTTTAAAGTACCCCATGTGTTATCCAGGTTCTTTGTAACCTGGAGAGTTATGCACAGCGATGGTGGTACACTGACTCCCCGGGGCTGGGATGAGAATTGTCTTGTGTTAGTTCACAGCCATTGCAATGGTGTAAATCTTCTCACTATGGCCAAATCCAAGTTCCCAAGGTTTAACAACCACTTTGCAAAATTCCTGGGTATTGGCCAGTTGTCATTCATAAGCCAATTTACCCCCTCCCAGTATCCTGGTGATAACATCCTCCCAGAGGGTTTCATCACCAAGCTCCCTGGAAACTATAGTTGATACGACTTTTTCCTTAACCACTGAGCCATCTCCCCAGCCCCTGATATGGCTTTTTCCTTAACTGCTGAGCCATCTCCCCAGCCCCCGACAAATTGCTTTTTCCTTACCTGTTCCTGCCTTCACTCTAGCTTCACAGTTCACAGTTCTAGGATGCTAAGACCCTGGTGTTTAATCATTCAGGGCATAGGCTGTGACTCAGAGGCATGGGGAAGCGGCAGTGCTTAAGGCCGAGGGCCAGGCTTTCTTACATGTTTGCTCCTAGAAGCAAGCCTGGGGAACAAGGTTTGGAGACTATCTTAAGAAGTGCTTCAGGGAACCAGGGATGTGGGGAAGGACAACATGCATGACAACATAGCAAGGAAAGCATGTATGGAGGGTACCTATGAGGTACCGATGACACCGTCCCCACAGGGTCATTCTAGAGAGAACAAGTGTCCCTCGAGTGACCAAACTGCGGGGAGGGGAGTGACATGATGGAGTGTTTCCATTTACTTTTGACAACACTTCTGGATTCAGGGCCATGGTCAAAGGGACAGAAGTTTCCAGACAGTTGCAGGCAGAGCAGGTTCCAGCTGTGTGGGGACAGTGCCTGATGAACCCCAGGTGCAGGACATTGGGTGCCAGAGTACATTAGGATGTAGGCACGTGGTGCAGGAACCCTAGGGGCTAGGTAGAGCAGGATACAGTTCCTTCTTCCCCAGCATTTTAAAATAGCTCCTGCCTCTCAGGAGCTAGTCTGTGGGAGAAATCCCAGCTCTCTAGGCTATAAGCAGATCTGTGTACAAATGGGACACGTGGTCTAAAGAAAAACGTGATCATGGAGGAAGAAATATGTTAGAATAAGACATGGGACCCATAAAGGCATCCCTCGACTTTTGCCACCCACCAAATATTACCAATGTATGCTGGCAAAGATCCGGAGCTCTAAGATCTTGGAATCAAACCATAATAGGTATACCAAGATCACAGGTAACTCAAGGTGAGTGATGATTCATGGGTATGCAAACCAGCTCACCAAGCTCATGGCATAGTTACACCTACCCAAAGCCTCAGTCCAATCTCCAGTCATTGTTTAGAGATCTGGGCACTTCATACTTTCGGCTACTGTAAAGTCTGCTAGAATCAGAGGTCTGAGAGTTTAAAGTTATTCCTATCACCTAATTAGCTGTGGGTTCTTGGGCGAGTAGCTAAACCTCGCTGTGCGCAAGTGTCTCCATCTGTAGAACGGAGATGACGTCGTGGACTTGACACAACTTTGATATGGGAATGAACTGATGTCCTCATTGTGTAGTGTGGTCTCTGCGTGTACTGAACTGGTAATATAGTAGCTATTTACACTATATGTTGTGACATGAACGAGGGCCCTTGATATATTTATAAGTGAAGAGGTAAACTGATATACAGAATAGCTTAAAAGGATTTTTCATTTTAGGATTTTTCATAATGAAAGGAACCTGTGCCTACAGGCTTTGTTTAGAAAAGTGGGTTTAAGATATTTAGTGATTTATTCTGATTACAGTATGGACCTATCATACACCAACATATACTTTATGGAAATAACTATATTTTGAAAAAACTTCATAAAAGAACTGTCTTGTTTCACATTTTTGCCACCTTCTCCCAGCAACTGTTTTAACTAAAGGCAGTCAGTCTCATATCTGTTTGGCATTTACTTACTTGGGACTATAACACGGCAGAGCAGACAGTTCATTGATAGGATTTCAGACTTCATATAACAACATGTTTCTTAAAAACCCAACACGTGGGGGCTGGGGATATGGCTTAGTCAGTAGAGGTTTTGCCTAATTGGTTTCTTCCTGGTACCATATAGTCTGGGCATGATGTATACACCCATAATCCCAGCACTTGGTGGGGGTTGGTCGAGGCAGGAGGATCAAGATTTTAGGATTATCCTCTTCTACACAGGCCAGCCTGGGCTACATGAGACCTTGTTTGATAAGAATACAAAACACCAAAGAAGCAAAAAATCTTAACCCAAAACAAAAATCCCAAACACATATTGAGTTTTAGTGGAATATCAAAGCTATCTATAATTTTCTAAAGAGGCCGTTAAAATTCTCTTCCCATTACCAGTTGTAGAAACTGGATTTTTCTTTCTGTATTCAAGCAAAATAGTACATCATAGTAAGTCAGCTGTAGAGCAGATGTAGAGGAACAGGTGGGGTGCGTTCGCTGGGATGGTGGGGCGACTCTGTGGGCCACATTTCCTATGAGGAGTCCCGGAGATCTGTTCTGAGGGGCCAAAGGGAGTTTGGAGCAGAGAAATGACCATGGTCCCGAGACCCAAAGAGACAGAGGAGGAGAAACCCACTGTTTCCTCCTAGTTCCGGGCTCCTAACCCCTTAGTGAAGAACCTCAGTGTTAGAGTGAGCTAGCCTGTGCGGGTTCTCACCAGCCATTGACTTCTCTCTTCCCACACATTCCTCAGTACCAGGAGCTTGGTTCTCACCACACAGGTGATTCCTGACTAACATAGCCCTACTAGGAGAACATAGCCTGGATCGCTGCCAGGTATTGGAGTGTGGGATGCTGTGAGGTGGGAAAGAGACACAGTCCTTGCTTTCTGGAGGGGAAGGGGCAGAAGAAGTACCCTGTGTGAGAAGCTTGGAGGGGCTCCAATAAAGTGAAGGATTTTGGGGGACAGAGCCCTCAGGATGGCTCTGATAGGCTCTGGGGCCAACAGCCAGCCGAGGGCAGAATGACAGGATTCCAACCCTGAATCTGCCACAGCTTACCCTTGTGTCATTATATTGTATTGTTTTGGTTTCTTAAAGTTCCCAAACCTTTATTTTCTAAGCTGTGAGATGAGGACGATCACCTTCAATGTGAGGTCGTACCCAGAAAATATTGGATATTTGTTATCTGTGACTGTCATCAATTCTTTATGGATTTCATAAATATATTTTGGTTATCTTTACCACCCACGCCACACTCCCACAGTCCCACCCCCACCTCTCTGCCCATCTGACTTCAGAAAGCTCTTGCTTTTTGTTTTTTATCTTAGGTCGTGAGGCTGGAGATGCTGGATAAAGCTGAGGTCCTTGGGCCTGTTGCTGACAATTCTATAGAACCTTCTATATAGAGAAGGCAAAGGAGTTGGTTCCCACCTCCCCTTAGAGAAACCACTGGAAGCATGAGGAACTGCCAATAAGTGAGTCTGATGAAACAAACTCAGGGCCTCCAACCCTAGCTACAACCCCAATGGACATTTGGTCATGTTTGAAGACTACCTTGTCACAGGCTGAGGCAGGGAGTGTCCATTACTTGTGTCTGGTGGCTTGAAGCTGAGGATATCCTACAAAATACAATAACAGTTCATGAAAGGAACCACTTAGCCAACACATAGTGTAGAAGTATGTCCCATCCACCTTGGACCTTCATCTTCCCACCTTCAGAGAGAGATGGGCTCTTCGTCTTTGCTTCTTATAGTCTATTTTTCTCTAGCTGTGGTTGACCTGTATCCTGGACTCTTTGGCACTGGCTAGGCGACCCTGACTCTGGGCCCCATGACCCTTCCATTGAGACAATCCCGGTGGATTTAGAGAGTTTATAAAGGTGGGAAGAGCTCAGGACTTACAGATCCTGAGGGTCAAGCTCTAATACCACCACTGGCCACCAGTGGTGTCTGAGTTTCCGTTTCCAGATTGGTGGTACGGAGCTGACCTGCTGGCTCCCTGGAAGCATGGCTGTGAGGGGCTGGATAGCCTTTCTGAACTGCTGGTCTTCCTAGCTCCTCCATCTATACCAGTCCTAGGATGTGCAGTAGCGAATCACAGCAGGGAGGCCTGAGAAATGCTCCCGGTTCAAGTGCATTATCTACAGAGAAGCAGTAGGGGCAAGCTTCTTCCGGGAGCCCGTGACAACCCCATCAGTCAGATGAGCAGCCCAGGGAAGGTGTGTGCTCTGTGGGATATTTGCTTGAACTAATCAGCAGAAGACCAGCATAGGGAGAAGGAGCAATTGGTGGTGTGAACTCCATGCTTTGGGGCATGGGGAAAGGACTGACTTCAGGACTAACCGCTACTCTATTTCTGGCTTGAATCCCACCAGAGACAAAACATCATACTTCCTTGGGGGAATCAGAATGACAGGCCTGGGGGGTAGCTGGGTTCAAATCTATGCTTAGCCACGTGCTAGCTAGTGTTTCTGTGCCTCAGTTTCCCCATCTATAGAAGCAGAGATGGACAGATAGTGATACCTGTCTGGAAGGGTTACCCTGCAATTCAGTGTCCACACATGGAGCAATACGGAGGCAGATGCGGAGAGAAAGCACTTTTCTCTAGGTTCGGGGCAGGGTTAAACAGTGCTAACATCTGCTAAAAATCACTCTTGGCGTTAATGGTAAGTTTTTATTGTAAGCACTCCTGGTGGTCTTTTTCCTGTAAGCAAGCAAAGACACCGGGGATGGGGCAATTGACTCCCTCATCAGCAGCTACTGGACTCTCCAGTGTGTGAGCTATCGTGAGTAACAATGACCACCACTCTAACAGGCAGCTGGCCTACCCGGCTGCCTTCGGGAGCCATCTTGATTGTTCTCTGGATGCCTGGAGACACCACGCACAGAGAACAGCTAATGATAGCCCAGGCTTCAGGCGGCACAGCAGTTTGTGTGAGACCTTTTGCAAGCACAAGCCTTAACGGACTCTGGATGACCCTGCGACCATTCCCACCTTGGCCGAAGGGGAGCAGGTTCCCCTGTGAGGGAGATTGTTCTGATTGGTGCTAAGGTGCAAAGCCACGATTGTTTCAAAACATAAGCCTCCGTGACCGTAATCGACGCTAACAGACGAGGCTATCACTGGCTCCAGCAAATGTGCTTGAAGAAATACCACTGCTTGGCCTCTTGCTTAAGCAGGCTGCTCAGGGTGAGGGAGTGAGCCCCTGAGAGACTTCTCCCTGCTGCCCATAAATGAAACCCAATACATAATCTCCCTCCCTCCACCCCGGTGGCCTTTCCTTGCCTGCTTTCAGTGGTGCAGGCTGTACCAGTAACAGACAGAAGATGTCGTAGGTAGCAGAGAGACATTACATTTTGTTAATTGACAAGGTTGGGTTAGAACTGGTGCAGTTGAACAGCTAAATGGGGTCCAGCAACTTGTGTCTGATTTTTAGTCCTCAGCTCTGAGACTAAATCCCTCAACAGTCCCAGTTTGCCCAGTTCTGAGCAGCTTGCTGTGTGCCCTTGCTTTTAAACATGGACCCTACAGAGGCAGCTACCTAGTATCAGTTAGCAGCCTTGGTTGCCAGAAGAGACCCCAGGATAAGAACTGTATCGCTGGCCATGGCCCAGGACTACAGGTTTGGGTCCCGGGGGCATGCACAGGAACTGTAGCTCTAGAGAGCCCTGCTTGCCCCTGCCTGCTGCCCACCACCCATTGCTGCCAAGCACTGAGGATAATGCAACTTGCCAGAGAGAGCAGCCCTGGGAGGGGCTGTCCAGACTGCACCAAACACTTCTACCCTAGGACCTTTGCATGCTCTGCTCTGTCTGCCTGCAGAGACTGTCCCCTGGCTGTCTCCAGGTCTGATCCATGTTGTCTTTAAGGCAAACCCTTAGAGAGAAATTCCCTCACCAGACATTTTTATTTTGAGCTGACTTCTGATTTGCCTTCAGCCTATGCCGCTGAAGCTCCAAGAGGGCGGAACTGTATCTCTCTTTGTTCACTGGCAGAAAACTCGGCGAACACTCGGAATGGGAATGAAGGAGAATATACTGTAAGCAGTAGAGAGACTCATTGCAGCGCTGGACCCTCAGTGAAGAGCCCGCAGCGCAAACGACATCATGTAATTATCATGAGTTAGGCCAAGAGGCAGACTGGGCCGAGCTGGGCTGTGAACCCTGATCTGCTAGGCAGCCCTATGCACAGTAGCCCTTCCTCTCCTGGCTCCAGCTCTCTGACCCCTGTGTGATCCTCCTGTCCAGTCACAGCAAAGGGCTGCTCGGAAGCCACTGTCTCATTAAAATATGGAAATAGCTCTCACCTCGCTTTGCCCAGCCCCAGTGATCAACTTTCCAAATCGGTTTTGCTGTTTTATTCAGCATAACATACATTTGTTAAGTCTTCAAGCAGTAAACACCACCTGCAAAGTGCCTTTAATATTTAATGTAACAAAAATTGTTGTGAAAATAAATCCAGTCACATGGAAAGGCAGCAGGAAAGACAGGAAGCGGCCCTGAGGGAGCTGCGACTGCGTAGAGCAGAGTGGCCCAGGGTTACCTTAGCAGAGCCATCTTGGGAAGAGTGCTGGCTAATGCCAGAGTGTACCAGATACTTAGTGCTGAAAAGGGCTCAGCCATCAGCACTTTCAGCTAAGCAGGCTTTGATTCCCAAAGCAGCCGCATTACCTAGGGTTGTGAGATCTGTGCTTAAGGGTGGTGCAGGTATACCGGTCCTTGCTTCCCAGACACTCTTTCTCTCCCTCCATCCTGCTTCCCGCCCTGGTGTAGGGCCTGGGGATTGATGGTTCGGGGACAAAATGCCTTGCTGAGTCAATCTGAAGACCTGAGCTTCAGCCTCCAGAAAAAAAAGCCTATGTGAAAAAGCCAGGTGTGGGGACATGCTTATAATCCCAGGGCTGAGGAAGCGAGGCCTTGGTGACCGGATAACCAAGCCTGGTAGGCAAGCTCCGGGTTCAGGGAGAGACCCTGTCTCAAACATCAAGGTGAAGAGTGACTGGACAAAGTACCTGACATCTTTAGATGCATGCATACATGCTGTCATGCACATTGCACTTAAACCTTTTAGCTTATGTCCCCGTAGGTTAACGGGGACATGCTAACCATGTTGGTGTCATTGCATGGCTACTTTAGGTGGGTGATGATGTGTAAGGTAGCTGCATGTGAGGTAAGACACAGCTGCTGCCGCTGCTGTTGGAGAGACTCATCCCCCTGCACCAGCCCCCTGACGTCTCTGAACTTTCTCAGTGCAGAGTGCTCATGGGAAAGTCTGGCTGCCTCCCAAGCATCACAGGGGCTGACTAACTGTCTGTGGCCAGGAGGTGGAATCCAACTGTGGCCAGGACTTTCCTATCTGCATATGACCCTTTCATCTCAACGAATGGCTCTGCCCTGTTCTCAGGTCCTTGAGTACAGAGCACAGTGGTTCCTGTTTCCCTTCCCTTCACCAGCGGAACCTGTGGCCAGTGCTCTGGCCTGAACCCAGTGTCTCCCCACCTGACTCACCTCCTCTTGGTATGGGATGTACTTCTGTCTATGTGTTTTCTTTATTGGTTGATGAATAAAGGTGTTTCAGCCAATGGCTTAGTAGAGTAAAGCCAGGTGTGAAATTCGAGCAGAGATACAGACAGAAAGAGAAGGCAGAGTCAGGCAGACGTCATGTAGCTGCCAAAGGAGAAAGATGCCATAACTTTGCCAGTAAACCACAGCCTCCTGGTGATGTACAGATGAATAGAAATTGGTTAATTTAAGATGTCAGAGCTAGTTAGGAATATGCATAAGCCATTGGCCAAACAGTGTTTAACAGTGTTGTAACTAATATAGTTTCTGTGTGATTATTCGGGTTTGGGCAGCTGGGAAACAAGAGTCTCCATCTCCATCCTCTCTTCATTACCCTCTTCTGGGTAATGATGTCATGTAGCCCAGGCTGACTTCACTATGTAGACAAGGATGACCTTGATCTTCTGTTCCTCCTGCCCTTACCTTCTGAGTGCTGGCATTGCAGGCATGGTGGCCCATGCTTAGCATGCCAGCATCTTGTTTAAAGGACCACATAAGAAATGCTTCAGGCCACACACCTCTGACATAACGCTTCAGCTTGGCTGGCTTTGGTGTGAATGGAGTAAGGAGCGACACATGAACATGGGCTTGCCCGGGTTCTGATAGAATTGTTTTTACAAAGAAAGTAGCCCCAAAGCCATAACATGCCAAGTCCTGCCTGTCCAACTCTGACCCCGTAATTGTCTCATGTGGGTCAAAGAAGAATGTCCCACTGGTCCCTTGCTTCTAATCTTACCATTCTGCCAAGATCCAATCTCACAGTGGCCACTGTGGTTTTTTTTTTTCTATTTTTTTTTATTGAGAATAAGAAAAAAAAAGTTTCCGCCTCCTCCCAGCCTCCCATTTCCCTCCCCCTTCCCCCTCTCTTCTCCCCCTCCCCCCTCTCTTCTCCCCCTCCCCCCACTCCTCTCCCCCTCATCTCCTATCCAAAGAGCAGTCATGGTTCCCTGCCCTGTGGAAAGTCCAAGGTCCTCCCCGCTCCGTCCATGTCTAGGAAGGTGAACATCCAAACTGGATGAGACAGTGGGGCTGATCTATTGGGAGCTCACCAAAGCCAGCTGGACTGTGACTGAAACAGCATGGGATAAAACCGGACTCTCACATCATGGCGAACAATGAGGACTGATGAGAAGCCAAGGTCAATGGCAAGGGGTTTTGATCCTACTTCATGTTCTGGCTTGATGGGAGCCTATCCAGTTTGGATGTCCACTGTGGTTTTGAAAACACATTTGAGGAATGTCTTATCTTGATCCATCCCCATTGCCCTTCAGTGTAAACCAAGGTCTTTCCCCCCATCATCTCTGTACTCTTTAAATCTAGCTGTCGCTCCTCTGAGTTCTCATCTCTGTCCCCTCACCACAGTGCAGTGGTCATTGATTTCCTTTCTGCTCTCCTACATACCTGTTCCTCTTCTTACATGTCCTGGAACATTCTTTCTCTGGGGCTTCCCAGGTTCATCCTATTATTCATCTCTTGGTTGTACAGTGTGATCTGCATAAGTTTCTAGCTACAGTTCCCTCCTGCCTTCTCCATCACCTCACTTGGAATATCACCTTACTGACAAGCTTGTCTGTCTTCACATCTGAAGGGTAAGGTCCATGAGATCGAGAACCAGGTTGTGTGCTGAGAAAAGCACGTGGTTGTGGTGATATTTTGTTTGTGCTTTAGCAAATAATGCTTGCCTGAAGACCAGCGTGCGGAACTAGCCATATTAGTTAGCCATAGAGGCCAGGCAGTGGTGGCACACACCTTTAATCCCAGAACTCGGGAGATAGAGGCAGAGTTCTAGGCCACCCTGGGCTATACGATATTGACTCAGTCTAAAAGAGAAACAGAACCATGCGGTGGTGGCTCACATCTTTAATCCCAGCACTAGGGAGGTAGAGACAGGAAGCAATATGGTTGGGTGGAGAGAGGACTATAAGGTGGAAGGAGACAGGCACTCAGGATTCAGTCTGAGGTTTTGTAGAAACAGGATACCCCTTTCGGTCTGAGGATTTTAGAGAGGTTAAGAACTAGTAGCTGGCTGTTCTGCTTTTCTGAGCTTTCAGCTTTTATCCCCTAATATCTGTCTCTGTTTCTTTAAATTATTAAAACCAATTAGAATCCATGCTACACGTAGTAGTCAGCAACCCTCACATGTTTGTTCAGTGAGGAAGGAACACACTCTGTGTTTTAGGCAGGTCCTGTTGGCCACCTCTGATTGTCCAGCTTGGATCAAGCCCTCCTTCCAATGCCTGGACAGGCCTTCCAAGCAGCTTCTTCCACTGTCAGTGCTATATGTCAGTAACCTCAAGACCAGACTAGGGGCAGGCAACTTTTTCTCAATGCTGATCTCTGCACAAAACCACCCTGCAACAGCTATGATCGATACTGTGGAGGTCAGGGAGGGAGGGAGGGGGAGGAGACACGGTTGTTCCTTGTCCCTGCTTTCCCTGACTTAGGCAAGGTTCCCAAGCTCACTCCCAACTCTTTGGTGATCCCCTAAACCTCACTTCTCTCACTCTCCTGTCCTCCTCCTCCTCTAGTCACCAGGTCTCTGGGAAAGATGCTGATAATTGGCAACGCGTAGGCTTCCCTTTGTCCCCTTTGCCCCAGACCCCTGACTATGTTGAATGGGGCCATGGCCCTGGAAAATGATGCATGTGGTAGAGTAGGAATGGCCCTCATAGACTCGTGTTTGATTGCTTGGTCCTAGAGAGTGGCACTATTGGAGGTATGGCCTTGTTGGAGGAAGTGGGTCACTGTGGGCAGGCTTTGAGGTCTCAGAATCTCGAGTACTGCCAGTGTGTCACAGTCTCTGTTGCTTGTGGATCAACATGTATAACTCTCAGCTACCTCTCCAGTACCATGTTTGCCTGCATGTTGCCATTTTTTCCGCCATAATGGACTAAACCTCTGAAACTGGAAGTCATCCCCAATTAAATGTTTTCAAACTTTGTAAGAGTTGCCATGGTTGTGGTGTCTCTTCACAGCAATAGAAACCCTAAGACAATGCCCCTTGCCAGCCTCTTCTGCCGTTGTGAGAGTGGCCAATAAGATACCCAGCTAGGGCCTCCCAAACGGGATGTGAGTAGATCCAGTCTTGGTGGCTCTATCTTGGGTTTGAGCCAAACATCAAGAGTATTAGTGCTTGAAGGATACTTTGGTCACCACACTGACAGCTCTGGGTGTGTTCAGCTACATCCTCATATAAGAAAAAGAGGGAGATTTTTTTTTCATGTCTGAAAAGGCAGCAATCCCTGTAAGCAGAGGCTGCACTTTAGTTTCCTGGCCACCCAGCCCCAAATAATCACACAAAAACTACATAAATTACACTACTATTTGACCAATGGCTTAGGTGTAGTCCTAGCTAGCTTTTGCATCTTAAATTAGCTCATTTATATTAATCTCTGTATCAACATTAGGTTGTTATCTATGGTAAGGTTCTGGTGTCTTTCTTCTTTGGCAGGTACATGGTGTCTCTTTGACTCCACCTACTCTCTCTCTATATATCTCCGTTAAGATTTTCCCTCCTGGCTTTGATCTACTAAGTCATTGACTGAAACAGCTTTATTCATCAGCCAATAAAAGCAGCACATATACAGAAGGACATCCCACACCCAATCCCATAGAGTTAGGACTCTACTGCTAAGACTTTATTTAGTCTTACCCACTCCCTCCAATCACAGTTGTGTTGGGGGTTAGCGCTTGAGCATATGAATGCAGTGGAAGACACAGTTCAGTCCGTAGCAGATAGAATTACCTCATTTTTATCCTTCCTTCTGCCTTCTTCTCACCTGGAATCCAGTTGTAGTGGCTTGAGCTTCAGCTGCGATGTTGGACCTAACAGTCACTTTGAGAACAAGCGCCAGTTGCTTGAAATGGAAGCATGGGAAGATGGAGGGAACCCAGCTGACTTTACAACACCCTTGCATCATCAGGGACTTGCTAGGATTTGCTTTATGGCAACGCTTTGCCTCTCAACCATGCTGAGCACTAGAGTAAGCAGTAGAAATACTCATGGCCAGACACTGATACAATTGATCCGCCGGGAGCAGCTTTAGCATCATGCTTTTTTTCTTAAGTCCCCTTGATGATTCTAGCATGTGAAGGTTGAGCATACCGAGTTAAAGGAAAAAACTCTTACAGACTGGAGGGCTGGCTCAACGGGCCCAGTGCTTGCTAGCAAAGCCTGAACATCAAGGCTTAGCTCTCTGGCAGTCATGCAGAGGTCTGGCAGGTGTAGAGGCCACCTATAATTCCAGCCCCCGGGAAGCGGGAATTGACATGATAAGAACAAGCTGTCCTGCAAGACTGGCCAAATACGCAGGTTCCGGGTTCAGTGAGAGACCCTGTCTCCATATAAGGTAGAGAGTGGTCAAGAAAAAACAGTTAGCATCAACTTCCACCTTCACATGGATGTCTTCATCTGCACACATGCACACACGCATGCACACACACTGAAGCTGTGGACACACACCACACATTTATGCACATGCTTTAAATCCTTGCATAAGAGAATCAACTGCATTTTAATTAATGTTATTTTGGCTTCGTTACATGCCGGCTAACCCAACACACAGCAATCAGAAATGGGCCAACCCAGCGAGTCTAGAGATTTCCAGAACAACATCCACTCAAAGCAAACGGAGCCCTGGCCACTTCCTCCTAGGTCCAATGTGCTATGTAGTGACAGAGCTGTGCAGTGTTCAGGAGCACTCTCCACCCCTCTACCCACATGTTTCGAACAGTGCGCGCAGCTAAACATAAAACCCCAATAGCCACACGGCTGCTGTCAACAGGCAGCCTTTCTCAAAGTGCGTTGCCTTCCTGAGGCCCTTAGAGGCTGGCCACCCCCTTCCTTTCTGTGCCTCAAATGTCTAACCCAGGGCACATTCCAAGTGGAAAGAGGTCCGAGGGCAGACCACAGCTTGTTGATGAGGGACTGGACTTCAAGCCACTGCTCTATCATCACTTAAGTGCTGAAGGCTCTTGACCAAGTAGCTTAACTTCTCTGTGCTTTAGACACACAACCCTGTGCCCTGTGCAAACAGGAGACTCTCATGCAGGATCCAGGATACCAGTGAGGATTACATGATTTTTTTTTTCACAGTCCCTGGCTCATAGTAATGATACAGCAAATGCCAGCTGTCACTGAAGGATGTGGCTAGCTGCTCTATCTGTGTCATAAGCCCTATGGGTAGTGGGGTAGTTCTTCCCCTCCATTGCTGGAAAATGGCCCCAAACTGGGTTGCTTTTATGAAGTGGGCACTAAATGAGCAAACATGTGTCTGGAAATAAAGGTAATTCATCCCTGGGGAGATAGCATCTCCCAGGTTCAGGGGTTAATGGGCTCTGAGGATTCATAACAAAAGGTTCCCGGGACAAATTGGCTGCTGAACTGAGCAGCCATTGTTCCTGAGACAGCTCTTCAGCTGGATCCCATTTGCTAGCATGGCTGCCGCAGAAACAAATTAAAAGGCAAGCCCCCTCAGAGATAGCAGCCACCGAGCTGGAGGGCTGAGCGCTCAGGAAGTCTGAGCCTGAGACACAGGGGCCTTGCTGCTCTGTCAGCTGCCAGCCTGTGCCTGCTGTTCTCTGCGAGGCTGGATAGGAGCCAGCCCCTGCCAGCATGAGCTCCCGGGGAAGCGTGGGAGCTGCCAGGCACTGGCCATGGAGAAGCACTTCGAAGTCGGAGCGGAGCACACAGCACGCAGCACCCTCTGCCGCATTAAAGGCTTGATGGAAGAGGAAGGAAGTAAACAGTCCACCCACAGGCTGCTCCATCAGGAGGTACAGGGCCAGGAGCTTTATTATGAACCAATGAGTCTCACTCAGTGAGGTCTGGGAGTTATTGGCCAGTTCTGTCCTTTTAGAAGCTTCTGGGGGGGGGGGTGTACACAAACAGGTCCCCAAGGTTGCAGCAAAGTCTGAGTGCAGGGGATTTTGCTCTGCAGCCCCTGTGGACTGGTGCAGCCCATATTTATGTGTTAGCATCTTCTGGGTGGGATTCCAAGCTTTGGGGGAAATGTGGAGGGAGTGAGAGAAATAGAGAACCCGGAGTCCATGTGCGAGAGGCAATTGGCTTCTCCAGGGTTTTCTAGAAACGTTTTAATCTGGGGTCCCTGAGATCCCTAGGTCCCTTCTTCCCAAGAGGTTATCTGCAGGGAAGAGCATGTGTCTTGTATTTAGCAGAGCTGGTGGGAGACTCCTGTGTGCACCAATAGAATCCTCAGACGTGAACTGGGGTGTGCTTCTTAAACTCCATCATCTGGGTCACCTCAGAGGTGGCCTCTGGTCCCCTGGATCCTAGCTGCCATCTGGGGACTTGCATTGCTGCTGCTGACCCAAGGGCCACAAATTGAGCAGTACCTGAAGTCTGTACACCTCAAGCCTGTGGGGTTTGCTCCTGACTGACTCATCCATTCACATACATTCACAGAGCTGAGTCACATACATGCACAGAGCTGAGTGTCCAGTGCCCCTGTCCTGGGCATCACAGAGTCTGGAAGCTGAGCATTGAGTCCTAGGTCTCCACGAGTGTCTTCAAATGTCCTGTGGATAACGATTCCAGGAGTTTGTCTGAGTGCTTCTGCGGTAGTTCTTGGCTGAGCGTGACTCTGAAGGTACTCCAGCCCCAGCAGAGACGATGTCCGGACCTTTGGTCCCCCAGGGGTACCTACTGATCAGCTAGGTGGAAGTGTCTGACCATGACTACAGTCGTCGTTACCCAAGGAGTGGTCACAAAGACAATTTCCAAGTTCCATGTTTCCAGGGAGACTCTGACCTCTTGATGTGAAGTGAAACCTGAGCGCTGGCATTAAAAGCTGCCTGGGCTGCTCCCGGACAGGCTGGGTGTGGAGTGCAAAGCTGTGAGGAGCCTTGGGGAGGATTAAGGAGCAGATGCAAGGAGTGGTCGCGGATTTGTTTCCTTTACCACAGTAGGCCACAGCAGTGTGAAGTGGTTCATGAAGTTCAATCAAAACAAAGTTCTTTTTTCTTTTTAATTTCTCTGTAGTTTTGGTTCCTGTCCTGGAACTAGCTCTTGTAGACCAGACTGGCCTCAGACTCACAGAGATCCTCCTGCCTTTGCCTCCCGAGTGCTGGGATTTCAGGCATGCGCCACCATCGCCTGGCTTGAAACAAAGTTCTTAATACCACCCCACTCCTAGCCCCCACTCAGACTCCCTCCACCCACCGCAATAAGTGTACAGTGGACCATGCCCTTCCTGGCCTAGGCAGGTCTCTGCTGGGGACGAGGGTCTCTGCTGGGGGCGTGGGAGGGGAGAAATCTCCCCTTCATCGGACCTCCATCCCCACCATGTACAGAACAAGTGGTACCCAGCAGACCCCCTGAAACCCAGTGCAGTCTTTCTGGCTTTACAGAGCCCAGGAAGAAAACTTGCTGGAATGACTGTTTTTAAATCACAAATCCCCCATGTATGCACTGTTTTCTGAACCTGAGGGCCGACTGCTAGAACCTACATTCCCAGTGTGTCCCAGGCACTGTGAGGGTTTCAGCTACTTGAGTCAAAGTGGACTTTGAGAAAAAGAAACGTCTTTGCCGTCTTTGGTTTGCCCGAGGCCTTTGCTGGGAACAGGATCGCCTAAGAAAAGCTGTTCCAAAGGTAAGAGGCAACTGAGTAACTTTACCCGTGGGTGGTTTCTCTCAACGGGCTCAGAGCAATGTGTGGATCAGAGCTGACATTATTCAAGGACTGGGGCGGGCGGGGGGGGAGGTCATATGTGGGTCTGGCAGCCAGGGCTGACTTCTATGGAAGGCCAGGCCCACCCTCTGCTGTTTTGGTCTTTTGGTGTGTTTGAGCCTATCTAACATCATGAACAGGCTAGAGCGCTGGTAGGGGAGTGGATGAATTCCCTCTGTGGAGAATTCTAAACCTCCATGCTGGCATTGGAGGCTCCTTGTCCCATTTCCAACAGTAACGGATGTTTGATGGCCCAGCTCCGGCCAGTGGTTCTGGCCCGTCAGGTCAGCCCACAACAAACGTTCCCTTGTAATTAAATCACTCTCTCTGTAGTTATTAATGACATTCGGCTGAGCCTGAGAGGGAGCGCTGTTTGAACCGCATTGAGGCTCCAGCCTTCAGAGCCGAGCTGTGAGGCTCCAGCGCTTGTGATGGTTTCCATTAGGCAGTGTGCAGGCTTTAGGCATGGATGTCACAGCATCCTGCTCTGGGCTGCTGAGGGCCAGCGGGTCCTCTGGATGGGATCAGGGATGACCACCAGCATGCTTGCTTTGGCATGATGTGGCAGAAGTGTGGTTTCGTGGTAAGAGTGGCTGTGTTTGGAGAGTGTCAGGGATGACAGGCGTCCTGTAGTGGAGAACACCTTGGGTGGCCATGTCTCTTTGGAAAGAAGCTGAGAACCTGGATTGTCCTTCCCAGGTGATCCAAACTCAGGGGTCCTAAAGGTCCCCTCACCATCTGTGGTTAATACATTTTGGGTTAAAGAGGGGAGTGTCATACTAGACAGCCATGTTCAGTAGGTACTCACAATGAGGCTGGCGGAAGGCATGGGTCACCGTGCCTGGCACAGAATTTATGCAGAAGATAGTTTGAGCTTCTTTTTATTTTCTACCAAGTCTTGGAAACTGATGTATGATTTTTACTCATTGCATACGTATTTCACAGAACCACAAGACAAGGTCTCAGCAGCCACAGGGGATAAGGCTGTTACCCTAAGTGGTGCTGTGCCACGCTGTTCCCTAGTGGAATGTTCAAACTGGGAAGCTCATTCACAAGGAAGGTGTGGGACAGAGAGAGGAGGACGAAGGGACTGGCTGGCTGGGAGGCCCTTGAGAGAATGAGCTGTCTGATGCAACAGAGGAGAGGGACAGTTTTCATAAGCAAGTGTAGGGCATCTTGACTGAGCAGAGGCCCTGGGGACACGTATGTGGCAGTCACCAAGGGGACTCCATTAGAGCAGTGACTGGGAGGCTTCCAGCTGGGCTGTGTACTCAGATAGCGGACTGGATGGTGAGCAGTTGCTGCTGAGCAGACCAGCTCCATGGTAGGCTTGGGAAGCCTTGCCTGATGGGGAAGGCCAGCCTGGTGAATGCCTGGTGACAGTGTGGCTCTTCAGCAGAAATGAGCAGAGGTGGCCCCTGGGATCTTGTTCGAATGCAGATTCTGCCCCTGTCAATCTGAGATGATGCCCAAGAGTCTACATGTCTCTAAACGTCCAGACATGACACGCTGCCACAGATCATCACCCCTGGAGGAAGCAGTCACGGTGAGGACACAGGTTCATGCCTTGTCTCGTTGACAGGTAACATGGAGCAGGAAGATGCTGAAGCTGAGCTGAGCTTAGCTTCGGAGAACTTGGGGCTTGAGTTTCTTCTCAACTACGACAGTAGTGATGGCTACTAGTTTGCTCTTGGTGAATATAGGATGTGTTCTGTGTTTAACCCGTCCACTCCCAGATGCTAGAAAAATATAGCTACTGGGCCAGCTCTGCCACTTCCTATATTGTAAATAAAGTTTTATTAGAACCCAGCTATACTGGTTCACTTATCCAGCCGTCCCTGCCTTATGGTACAAGGCCTGAAGAGACTGTTCAAAAAACCCCCCTGAATACTTACCGTCTTGCCCTAAAGGCAGATTCTACCTGCCCTTCTCCACATGCTAGGCTCTAAACCATCGCCTTCAGGGTGATTCATGGTCAGAGTGAGGTCAAAACATCACTTACGGGAAAGAGCAGAGAACATGGGTCCTTGGGCAGTTACTCTGCCAGCTTAGGCCGGGTCTTTTCTCCTGTGTGCTGTTGCTCCTGAACCATTGCCATCTTGTTTTGCCTATCTCTAAATTCTTCTGTAACGGTGGCTGCCTCTCCCTTCGACTTTCCCAGAGGCCTCTTACTCTAGAGTGGTGTGTGTCAGCATTTGTGATGCCATGACGAACTGGTGCTAGAGATGTCTCAGTCAGTCATGGTGGAGAGGACAGGATGGTGGGAGCATGCGGTGGTCGCTTGTTCATGTAGTGTGGTCCGGAGGCCAGAGAGAACTAAATGAGAACCGGAGGTGGGTGTCCCCTTCAAGGCCTACCCTACTGATAAACTTTCTTCCGCTAGCCCCATGTCTCAGAGGTTCTGAGGCCTCCACAATCAGCTCCACTAACTTGGGATTAGACGTTTAAACTCATGAGCCTGTGCCGCCATTTCACATTCAAGCTACAATGTGTGTGTGTGTGTGTGTGTGTGTGTGTGTGTGTGGGTGGGTGGGTGTCAGGTATTAGTTAATTCCCCAGTTTCCTCGTCCCCCACCCCTGTGGGAAATGTCAGGGACATGCTTGGCATGGTTCTCAGTGGCCTCAAGTCCTAGGAGCCTATGATGTAGTCTGTCCCCATTTCTCTCCTCTACCCCGCACCCCCATATCACCTTCCCCATTCCCTTTGGTGCTTTGGGGAATCTCCTTCCAAATATGCTGTCTGTGCTCAAATCCCACACCCAACTCTACTTTCAGGGAGACATGGTTAGGAAACACACAACAACCACATCAAACTGCCCAGAGATTCACCTTCTCTAAGAGATGACTCCCGGTCCCTGGAGGGTGGACACTAATCTCAGTTATGGGGCTCAGAGCCAGGTACGCCTGACGGTAGGTGACTCAGCCTGTTCTTTGAATAATGGTAATGTTATCACTATCCTCCTTCTCCTCCTCCTCCTCCTCCTCATCATCATCATCATCAAATGCTTAGTAGAACATGTGAGGACACTGGCTGAGAGAGCTTAGGTCACCTGCCCAAGCTTCACACGTGTTAGAACAAGACTTTTAGCTCATGGAAGCCTGGAGTTTGAGATGGAGAGCCAGGCCAGTGAGGCTGTGTGGCTCTATGGAGTTGCCCACTATGGGGTGGCTCTTGGTGTGGTGTGGTTGTCTCTGAGTCCTACCTACAAGGTAGGATAGTGACATCTTCAGTGATGGCGCTCACCAGCTGTTGCCATGGTTACGCCTGGGTCTGGACTGGATGAGAGAGGACAACAATAGTGACTGCTGCCACAGTCACTGCATTTGACCTTTCTTATCCCCCTTCTAGGCCCAGTGCCTAGAGGAAGGGCTGGGCCTAGTTGTCATGGGAACAAATGGGAGATGCTCTCCCTGGAAGTGCTTGGACTCAGCGGCAGTGCCTGGGAATCACAGCGCTCTGCTCTCTGCCCTCCCTTTCCACTCGCCCACTCATAACAAGAACAGCTGGTCAGGTGTGCCTGTCGCCCTCACTCTTGCTGTCCCCCAAACTGGCTCCCTGTTTCATCTCTCTTTGCCAACACTGAAATCAGTGCCGCCGTCCACGTCTGTATTCTCTTCCAAAGTAAGGACGAGGTCTGGTGAGAGGGTCAAGTACGAGGGTGGTGGCAGCTGCTCCAGCCATTCAGCGGACAGACCTACATTGTGTTTAGCTCTATTGTTAAGGTATTTCCTGCGGTCTTCTGTGAAGCGCCGCTGCCCTTTCTGTCCACTTCGCAGGCCTGTGCTGCGCCGATGGCTCTGAAGCTCACAGATTCTCTTCTGCCCTCAGCCCTGATTCCCAGGGGCTCCCCGTCTTCTAAGGACACTGACCTTCTTTTTTGTTCTTGACCAAGCGCAGTGACATGGGGCTTTCTGCCCTTCCCCTGAGAACAAACAGCTCACCTTCCAGCTGGACGCAAGGAAGAGAGATAAGCCACCTCCGTTTCCTCTCTTGACTCAGGCTGTCGCCAGCTTCTGATAAGATTGTACGAGCCTGGTGGGCCTGATCTTTGCAGAGGGAGATTAAGAGCATGGTGCTGACAGCTATCAGGACTCTCCTGGGCTTCTCCCTCGGGGCTGGTGCCCAGTGTCAGCGGAGGCATGGGCGAGTGGCAGAGGCTGAGGATGGAGAGCGGGGGGGGGGGGTGACCTGTAAACAGCATTGTCCTTTCCTGAGACAATATTTATTGTCCCTTACTCACTCCTTCCCATCATCCCTCAGAACATTGTCCACCCTCCCAGAATCATCCTTTGAATGTTTTAAAGTCTCCAAGAACTTGGGGGGGTGATTGAAATCATGTACACTTTATGAGAGAGATGGGGCAGGCAGTATGTGCCTCTAATTCTTATAGGTTCTTTTTAAAAATGTATTTATATACATGCACATACTTGTCTGAATATGTACCACGTATGTGTAGTGCCTTCAGAGGCCAGAAGAAGGCATTTGCGTCCCCGGAATCCCCTAAAACTGGAGTTACAAGTGTGTGAGCAAACCCATGTGGGTGCTGGGAACAGAATCCAGGTCCTCTGCAAGAGCAGCAAGTGTTCCTAATAGCTGCACCTTTATTCTAGACCCCAGACAGAGTTCTTTATACCTCTGCTTCATGTGCTGGGCAGTCTGTACCAGCTTCTAAGAGCCAGTGTTAAATTTCCAGAAGTTTTATGATCTTATGATGAAACACAAATATTAAATATTTGAACTGTGAAAGCTTATTGTTGAGTGAATTCAACAAATGGTAAAGTAATGTTAAATAAATTCCACAGAAAGCCCTTCTTTTAGGCTAAGCCCAAGCCCTGAGTTCCCAGATTAGGCTGAAAATCCAAGTGGAGTCACTTCTGCGAAAGCCCACAACTGAAGACTCCCTGCTTTGATTGGGAAAGGCAGCCAAGAAGGCTAACTCTGCAAGTCAGGGGAGGGAGATGCTATGTCTGAGAGGGGAGAGTTTGAAAGAACC